AATCCTTATCCTTCTTTGTCAATTCAGTAAGGGGCAGTGCAATTTCTGAGTAGCCTTTCACAAATCTTCGATAGTAATTGCATAACCCAAGGAATGAACGTACATCATGTACGGTTTTTGGTGGTTGCCAATCTTTGATGGCTGTAACCTTCTTCGAATCCATGCGAATTTTGCCTTGTTCAATGATGTGACCCAAGAAACTGATAGATGTCTGAGCAAATGAGCATTTAGACGGCTTAGCATAAAGTTCATTCTCACGAAGCCGATTGAAAACTTGCCTCACATGCTGGACATGTTCCTCCAATGTCTCGCTGTAGATTACTATGTCGTCCAAGTACACCACGACAAAATCATCTAAGAACCCGTGAAGTACCTGATTCATCATAGTACAAAATGTTGCTGGAGCATTTGTCAAACCAAAAGGCATCACCTTAAATTCAAAGGCTCCATATCTGGTTACCACCGTAGTCTTTGCTTCGTCTCCCTCCTTAATCCGAACTTGCCAGTATCCGGACCTGAGATCAATTTTTGTGTAATACTTCGCCCGACTCAGTCGATCGAAGCAATCTGCAACCAATGGGATAGGATAGCTATTCTTTACAGTAATCTTGTTCAGGCCTCGATAGTCACAGTACATTCTAAGAGAACCATCAGTCTTTTTCTGAAACAATACAGGAGCTCCGTATGGCGACTTTGCAGGCACAATGATTCCACTCTCCAACATTTCCCCCAACTGCTTCCTAAGCTCTTCAAGCTCAGGCTGAGACATTCGGTATGGTGCCCTGGCGGGAGCTTTAGCGCCTGGAATAAGTTCGATCTCATGATCAATCGTCCTTCTTGGTGGTAATTTCTTTGGTAATTCTTCCGGCATGATGTCCTCAAATTCCCGAATAAGCCTTTTAACGGGTTTTGGAATAGGACCATTCGCCTCTTCGACCTCCTCTAATCGAAGAGTACACAAAAAAGAGGGTTCATTTCTCTTGAAACCTTTACTAAATTGCCTGGCTGAGATACTCTTCTCGCCCATCCTCCCAACCTGTGTAGGGATGACACACGGCTTATTACCCATCATCATTAACGAATCGGAATATGGCAACACTGCTGTCTTAGTATCCCAAAGAAATTCCAATCCCAGAATAAGCTTGAAATCATCCATCTGAACTGCAGATAAATTTGTCCTTCCCTCGAAAGGACCTGCTTTGATCAACACCGATTTTGCCACTCCAGCTATTGGTTGAGCAGCGGAGTTGATTGCTTTGACTTTTCCACTATCCTTTTCTAGAACCAGTCCAAACCGCTCTACTTCGGTACATGCAATGTAGTTATGGCTAGCACCAGTATCCACCATAGCCCTGATTGGCTTCCCATTGATTTTTACATCAATGAACATTAAGCCTTTGGCCCTACAAATACGAGCCTTCGCTTCTTCCATCTTTGCCTCTTTCAATGGGACATCATCCTTTTCAGCAACCCGATGCGATAGTGTGTTGCACCGATGTGAAAATGCCCCAACTATTTCCTCATCCTCTTCAGAGTCAGTCTCATTATTACAATTAGCTTGCGGGACCTCTTATTTTGAACTTGGCCCGCCACTTGCTAA